GGTACCTTCACCGTAGGGCCTCCTACTCGACCTCTCAGTACACAAAGTACCGGTAGCCGAGCATGAGGACTTTCCACTCATGCCAACACACAACTCACTTTGACACAACATGCATGAGGGAAGCGAAATACAGTTGGAAAAAGTGACACAAAGGAACCAACCATGTGGTTAAATTGCGTTGCCTGGTTTTATTTTCTTTGTTGTGAAAAATTATACACACAAAGGGTAAATTGACATGGGGGTAAAAATAATAAGAAAAACCTACCAGCCATAGTGTCGGCTACCGCGGCCACGGTAGCAACCCAAGCCAGAAACCCGGACAGGAAATAGCAGGCCTTCCAGGTGTTGGTGCGGAGATAAAGAAAGAGTGAAGGCCAAGGTAAGGTGGCGTCACCACATTACCTCTGTCAGGACGTAAGGGAACAAATCTTGGGGTCATGGGGCTTCTCTCCGTCATTTGCAGAATCGCTGATTAATGCCTACAGTTCAAAATAGTCATTTTGACTGACCGGAGTCTATGGTGGGTAATTGAACATAGTGATTGCAATGTAAAAAGTTGATTAGTTGCCATTTTATTGGAACCGAGTCATCTGGTGGGGATCATAGAACATTATGACACGCCCAATAAAGGGAAGTAACAGATGAAATCACCGATGAGACTTTGTCAGAACGAGGCCTAGCCTCTCACGATGGCAACATACCATTAAAGTCCTAATATAAATCGCATACATTATAGTAACCGCACCCCCAATTCCGGCTTCGGGGTTAAAGAGTTCTTAACAAAAATTGAAAACTTGAAAAGTACCTATTACCAACTGCACCCCCAATTCAACAAGACCGTGACTGACTTCATTGTTTCACCAGCTGGTTATAGATGGCATTGTTCTTAATCCTATTCATTTGTTTCGACAACGTGCCTAAAAATATTCACACCTATCTGAATAGGTCTGTGTTTTGTAAGTTTTTGACAATGTGCTGTTATCACTGTAAAAGTGTTAAATTCTTCTTCAATGCTCAGTTTATCTTTTGAAAACAAATAATTTCTTGATTTAAAAAAAAAAATCATGCCGTTTTCCCATGGAAATCAAAGCCAAAAGATCGCACTACATTATCAGTAAATCTCTGTGTTCACCATGAGGTTGCTGAACTGTCATTAACATATTTAAATGAGCTATGTAATTTAGACACGTGGGCATTTTGATTGGTTAATTAGCGACATGACCTATCCGGTCAATAAAAAGTCGCGTGTGCATTCAAAAACATGGCCGATATCGTATCGTATCGGCCGTTTACATGTGACTGAAATCATTCACTTACAGTGAAACTAAGTTTAATTTTACTTGCATTTCATAACAATTCAACGGATTTATTTTTTGTGCGTTATTGTAATCAATACTGAATAATAATCACCGGTTTCAACACTTCGAAAACAAGTAAGTTATTCACTTGTGAACCGCAGCATGGCCGGATTGCACTACTGTTCCGTGATCATTTGCTACTAAGCAGTGCATTCGTGTTTGTTTTTATTTGAAACTTCTGTTAGAATATACTTTTCGTTACCAAGAAAATTAAAAAAATAAATGCATTTACATTAAGTATACTGAGTATTTTTTATTATGTAGACAGTTTTTTACTCCTATGTGCGAAGCACACAATGGGAGTCTTTGCAGTTAGTGTGTCTGTACATGTATGTGTGTATGTATGTATGTGTGTGTGTGTGTGTGTGTGTGTGTGTGTGTGTGTGTGTGTGTGTGTGTGTGTGTGTTTTTGTGTGTGTGTGTGTTTGTGTGTGTGTGTGTATGTGTGTCCGTCTGTTCCACTGAAATCTCAAGAACCATACATTGATTTTTGATGAAACTTGGTACATAGATGCTCTGGGCCAATGCGCAGATTTGATTAGGTTTTGGTAAAAATCCATGCATATTAATTACCTAATTTTTAGCTGTTCCATGACTGTTCCACTGATATAGATCTAAAGAACCACTCATTGGATTTTGATGAAACTTGGCACATGTATGCTCTGAACTAATGCGTAGATTTGATTAGTTTTAAAAATCCGTGCATATTAATTATCTAATTTGCATAATTATTAATAAATTTTCGGCTTTTCCACTGATATCTCAAGTACTAATCATCACAATCAATGAAACTTAGTACATAGATGTCACAGGACACTGTACAGACCTGATAGTTTTTAGGGTAATCTCAGTACATATTAATTACCTAATTTGCATAATTATTTAATTTTCAGCTTTTAATATTTCAAGTAGTAATCATCACATTTCAATGAAACTTGGTAGATAGTTACTTAAGGACTGTGCAGAGACCTGATTAGTTTTTGGGTAAATATTTGTGCATATTAATCACCTTATTAGCATAATTAATTAATTTTTCAGCTTTTCGCCTGATATCTCAAGTACTAATCATCACATTTTAATGAGACTTGCGACATAGATCTTCTAGGACTATGTAGAGACCTGATTAGTATTAGGGTAAATAATTGTCCATATTAATTACCTATTTTGCATAATTAGTTTTTGCTGTTCCATGACTGTTCCACTGAAATATAAAGAACCTCTCATTGGATTTTAATGAAACTTTTACAAAGTATTTATCATCACATTTCAATGAACCTAGGACTATGCAGAGACCCAATTAGTTTTTGGTGAATATTTATGCTTAGAAATCACCTAATTAACATAATTAATTAACACTGATATCTCAATAACTGATCATCACATTTAAATAAAATTTGTTACATACATGTAAATGCTCTAGGACAATAGACAATAGCCTGATTAATTTTGGGTTAAAATCTGTTTATATTAATTCTCTAATTAGCATAGTAATTCATAATTTTCTGGTTCTAATCACATTTCAATGAAACTTGGTACATAGATATTACAATATGCAGACCTTGTTAGTTTTACATTGTGTGCAG